CACAAAATGAAGACTGATGTAAAAAAAAAAATACCTTCCTTAGTGATGAAGTTTCAACTTATTAAGAAAAATGCTGGTAAATATTATAGTATAAACCAATGAAGAGATTAACTAGGGAAAGTAACAGCATTTTTCCCATGGAAGTCTGTATTGTTTACTTATCCCACTGCCCTGTCCTTGTCAGCCACTGGGCTCGCTCTTTACCCTAGTGGCAGCTTTCTAGGCTTTGAGAAGAGTCTGGCTTTCAAGCCTCCCCAATGGAGCGCCTAGATAACTGAAATGATCTCAAATCCTTGGTTTGTGTTTTGGATCAATTATTCCTAGAAAGGACAAATTAAACATTATAAATAAATTATTATAATTCCATCACTGTTAGTATGTTGATGACTTTGGTTACCTCTTTGCAGTGTTTGCTCCCTTATCTGTGTGATTTTATGCAGTTTCATTCTTGTGAAGCCATAACAAAATTTCTCATTTACTGAATACTTCTATTTAAATGTAAGAGCTATTGTACTCAATGCTTACATTTATATTACTTATGGTTGATTAGTTTGTAGGCACTTTTCTAAGAACTTTCCATATAATAACTCAACCTGTACAACTTTATGAGAAAAGATACTGTTCATCACCTGTTACCATTCAGAGAACTAAGACTTAACCACAGTTGAGAGACTTGCCTAAGATAGCACAGTAAGTAGCTATGTAAGGATTAATACATATATGTGTCTCTTTGATTCTAAAATTCTGACTTTCATGCTTAAAATTTTTAAGGGTAAAAGGGCTAAAGTTTGAGAGTCACTAAAATAAGGGTTTGATTTATGTGTTTTGCTGTTAGACTTGTTAACCCTTTGAGGACAGGGTTTGGTGGTTTTCTTTATTTCTGTCTTCCTCTTCCTAAATGCAAAGTAAATACTTAAAGGGTGAATGAGTGATGCGACCTCTGCTCTCCTTGGAAATCTGTGGTACAAGGATACTTAACAGAACCTAGTATGTAGGAATTTGAAGGGGATTTAGAAGTCAAGTCAAATCCCTCCTTCAAGGAAGAAGAATGTCCTTATGGTGACCCAGTGAGTGGGAGACAGAAAAGAGCTAGGATCTAGCGACTGGGCTTCTACTGGGCCATCTGGTTTCAAAGAGTCCAGTCTTGCTCCTAAATCCCTTCTTTTCTTCTTCATGTCTCTCTCTTATATGATGTTAGCTGAACAACTTTTTCAACCGTAAAGTTATAAGCATGAAATTTACAAAGCAAGGCAAGATTTTTCATTCTTTTTACACTGATGCCCAGGCTTCCTCCTGTTTGTATCTTTGTTAAACTCAGAATAGAATTCAGGTCCTCTGCCTTTCACTGTACCCAAATTGTGCAGAGCTTCAGCTCACCTAGAGGATTATCTTGACTAGATTCCTCCTCAGAACATGCTGTTGATGAATAGTGGGAAGGAGAAGCAGTTAGAGCAGTTGTTAGTTTTTAATAGAATAGCCAAGTATTTTAAAGCTGAGTAGAAACCAGGATTTTCTGGTTTTTTACTAGAAAGGACAAATGTGACCAGGCCACTTGATTTAATTTTCTCTAGTCTCTCAGCCTACTGTTTGTAAAATGACCCTGTTAAAGCAAAAATATGAAGACCAAAGACCCTTTAGCCCTTCTTTGCACATCCTTACCTCCATCTACTACCTTTTAGGATCATGATTTTGATTATCCCCTAATTTAAATAGTCCGTAGTTGTCTTCTCCCTGTATCTCCTAGAATGTCATGTCTTGGGCATGATTTGGGCAACCATTTCTTAGTAACTCCTGGTGCTTCCACACTATGGTATAAGGCCAGAATGGTTTGGAATACCTCATTCAAAGGGTCATTGGGGTTCCTGTGCAATAGAACCAGTACTGAGGCCACACCGATAGAATTAGCTGACCAGCTGCAGCAAGCAGCAGTAGGCATAGACAACTGGAAACCCGTAAGCACAGTGTCTCTGCTTTCCATCCTCCTTTCACAAGCAGACTCTCTTTGTCAACTGTAAAAAATAACATTAAAAAGTGAAGGCTTTTTCCTGGCACAGGCTATGACAGTGTAGCTATAGATGACACTGAAAGTAGCTCTTAAGCTACCTGTATGGTAACCCCTGGGCCTGTGGTGACAACTGAGCACTTAAAATGTACCTGTACTTTCAGATATGCTAGAAATATAAAGTACACATCAGATTTAAAAGCCTTAGTACCTAATTAAAGTTAACAAACTTCTTAGATCATTTTAGTATCGAGTACAATATTGAAATGGGAATATTTTGTTTATATTGGGTTAAATTAAATATATTAAATACATTAATATATTAAAATTATTACCCATTTTTAATTTCTTTAAGCATTACTACCAGGAAACTTAAAATTGCCTATGTGACCTGCATCATATTTTGATTTGGATAGTGCTGATCTAGAAACCTCCATTAGTAAATACATTTAACAGAAGTTTACTATGGAACGTCAGAAAACTTTTCCTCTTGAAGCACCTGTCCCCTTTTAAAAAATGTTCTTTCATTTCATATGATGGGATCAAGAAGGAAAAATTATATCCTTTCACATCTATTTCCCTGAGAAGTGTAGCATTTAGTGAAAGCGGTATGGCTGGTGAGCTGATCACAAGGTATTGGTAGCAGAAGACTGGTGATTACTCCAGATTTCTAACTAAGAATTATATTTGTAATTCCATCTAACTCCCACTAAGGTGACGGTCTCAGGAGGAAAAAGTAGGCCCTCTTTAAAACAAATGAGTCACTCTCCTATGGTTTTAGTTTTGTTCTCTCATTTATCTAAATGTACTGAGGATCGGTCATGTGCCATATATTTTCCTAGCATAAAGGAAATAGACGAATATGGTCTAGTCTCTGCTGTCCAGTTTACATTAAGGGAGAGCAAATTTTTATTATTTTAAATATATAATATATAACATAATTATTCATTTTTTGCACATTTTGCATTTTTGCTTTCTCCTCTCTGGTGTAGTCTCTGTAAATTCCTACTGATTCACCTTTGTACCATCACTGAAGTCCCTTGTGCTCTTTTTCTCCTGTTTTGATCCCTCTCCCTCCCCTCGCTTGTAGAATGTCTCTGATTTATAGTTGCCTGCTAATTTTTTTAAAAGCTTAGTGTTTTCCTTATCCCTTATTTGGTTCCCCTGTATTCCTCCCATAAGTGAAACCATCTGAAATTTTACTTATTTATGCTTATTTAGTTATACTATTCTTATTTCACTGAGCATAATCCCTTCCAGCTCCATTCATGTTGCTGCGAATGGTATAAGCTTATCTTTTTGATAGTTGAATAGTATTCCATTGTGGTACACACATACCACATCTTGATCCAGCCATCTATTTTTGGGTGTTTCCATACTGACCAAAACATACACACAGACAATTGGAATCGAATAGAAAACCCAGGGATAGAACTATATATATATATATGTATATATGTATACACACATCCCCCCCCCCACACACACACATATCAGTTAATCTTTGACAGAGGACGTGTAATGGAACAAGGACAGTTTGTTCAATAAATGGTGCTGGGAAGATTGGACTGCTGTGTGCAAAAGAGTGAAACTAGTCTATTGCTTCACACCATGCACAAAAAAACAACTCAAAATGGATAAAAGCCCTGAATGTAAGACCTGAGATCATAAAATATATAGAAGAAAATAAAGTCAAAACACTACCTGAAATACATCTAAGGAACATTTTTAAAACCTCATCCCCCAAAGCAAAGAAAGTGAAGGAAAAGATAAACAGCTGGGTTAACATCAAACTAAAAAAGCTTTTGTACAGCAAAAGAGACACCAAAACATAAAAGACACATCCTCTGATTGGGAGAAAATTTTTGTACTCCATACAACTGATAAGGGACCATTCACAAAGATCTACAAAGAGCTCACATGACTCAACAGAAACCAAGTAAGCAGTCCAGTCAAAAAAAGGGACAGAAGAACTAAAAAGACACTTCTCCAAAGAGGAAATGCAACTGGTCAGCAAGTATATAAAAAAATGTTCAACTTCCCTCATTATTGGGAATATGCAAATCAAAGACCACCTTACACCAGTGAGAATAGCCCATATTAAAAAAAAACTGGCAATAATGAATGTTAGTAAGGGTATAGAGAAAAAGGAACTCTCCTACACTGCTGGTGGGAATGTAAACTGGTCCAACCACTATGGAAAAATGTGTGGAGGTTCCTCAAACTACTAAAAATGGAGCTTCCATATGATCCAGCAATTCCACTCCTAGGAATCTACCCAGAGAACACAAAAACATTGATTGAAAAGGATACATGCACCCCTATGTTTATTGCAGCACTATTCACAATAGGGAAAGTGAATTTAAATCTGACTTTGTACTCCAGATCAGCATTGTCACAGTGGTAGAAAAGGAAATGCTTTTGTAGTTCTAGAAAGTTGTGACCTGTTCATGTGTCTTGAATGTATTATCAGGCAGATAGGAAGGTAGGAAAGAATTCTTGTTAACCTAAAGGGACAAGCTCAATAAAGGCATAGGCTGTGCTAGAAGGTAGTCCCTGACAAAGTGTTTGGTTCATATTGGAGAGGGCTTGCATGTCTGAGGACATTGGGTGTTACTCTCCATGCAGGGGCCCATTTTAAGGTTGTAAGCAGGGAATGACATGGTTAAGACTCCGTGTTAAAAATACCACTTCAAGAATAGATTGAAGGATAGAGTTGTAGGGAAAGACACTGAATGCAGGGAGACTAACAACATATGGCAGTTTGGCAGTCAAGGGATAACAAAGGCTAAAAGGGAAAGAATATGTAAATGATTATGTGAGGCATAAAAGCTTGGCCTTGAACTTCTGACTTGCTCACTGGTAGAGAGATTGTTACTGAAAACTAGAAATGTAGCAGAGTGTCGGGCTAAAACAACACATAAGATGCATACTAGGTTTGTGGCTGGAGCTGCAGAGGAAAGTGGTTAGAGCTGAAGTGCTTGTGTTTGTATTTCAGATGGTGACCCTCTTTCAGATGTGGATTGTTCCCCTCTATTTCACAGTGAAGCTGCACTGGTGGAGGTTCCTAGTGATCTGGGTCTTTTTCTCTGCTGTCACAGCCTTTGTCACCTTCCGAGCCACCCGGAAACCTTTGGTACAGACAACTCCCAGGTAAGAGTTTAGTTAGTGAGCAAGAGCAAGGTTAATGGGCTGGGATGCATGGAAGGAGGGTGGGTTTAGATTGAAAAAATTCCAGTCCTTGTCTACCATAATTTCTGTGGACTCTACCAATACAAGCTGATTGGGAGACAACCTCTCATTCAAGATAAACCTCTCCCCACCACCCCTGAGTATTTCCCCATAGCTTAATCCTATGATTTATATCAAGGCCTGTATATATTATAAACATGCAAAATAAGTAAGCAAATGCTGGTGAAAATGTAGTCCAGTTTTATTTTTTGCTCATTTCCTGTGGGTTCATTTTAAATGTTACTTCTGTGAGCACTTCTCTGATCTCTAAATTAGATTCTCTGTTATATTCTTTCTTAGTGCCCTGTAATTTTCCTTCACAGAATTTACAATTAAACATTTTGATTTCTATCTCCCCCACTAAACTGTAACTTTGAGTTCAGGAACCATATCACTTTGCCCTTTTATTTCCATGCTCCTCCCACAGGGCCTGGCACATAGCAACCTTCTCTAAATTTTTGTTGAATGAATGCTGTTGGCAAATTTGCAATTTTCTAGCAAATAATGCTTTCTTCTCGGGTCAAAAAGTGTCCCTGCTCATATAAGTCTCTGTGTTTTTACCAGACACATATTTGTTCAATTCTTTCAACCAGCAATATCTGACAGAAAAAAAAAAAATCTCATTCAGTGAGCATCTGCTGTGTGTCAGGCCCTGTGCTGAGCACTTGGGACACAAAACTTGATAAGACATGGTCCCTGCCCTCCAGGAGTACTCGTTAATGGAGGAGATGGATGGGAAAGCAACTCTTTCAGGTAGTGGGTAAGTGCTGAGAGACCTGGTAAAGGTCCAGGAGAGCCTAGTAGTAACTGGCCAGCCTCAAAGTTGTGATGACTAGATCCAAAGTCTTCTAGGTTGTTCTTTTCCCTACCCTTATGTTTCACTTTACTGCAAGACTTTCTTACACCTTTTGAGTTTAATTGTACAAAGTAGAATTTGTCTTCAAGGTGAAATTGGTGATCCAGAAACCCCTCTGTGGCTCTGGTAGTTTGTAACCTTAAGGACCAGTATAGAAGATCACAGGCCCTGGAACTGGATGGATGTGAGTTGGAAAACCCCACATCTATCACTTGTTAAGTTTTGACCAGTAGTCTTCACTTTCTGAGCCTTGAATTCCTTATCCCTAAAAATGTGATACTAGCTGCTATCTCATAGGATAACCAGGAGCCAGGCTGGTGCTGATTATGTAAACAAATTGAATAATCACAGACAAAATAGAGGCCCCTCTTAATCAGGTGCCTCACTGTGGCGTTTAAAAGACTGTACCTTCATGGGACCATCTTTGATCTCTGAACCCAGTTGGGGTCAAGCCAACAATTCTGCACTGCTTCTTCCTGGCTCCTGGCAATGACTGTTCCTCCGTTAGGAGCACTTTGCAGCCCCACTCCAGCCTACCATCGTCATACATGTACATCCAGTTCAAAGATATTCTTTAGCATCTCTTCCATGTTCCTCCCTTAATGTAAAAAAAAATTCCAAAGCTAATTCATTGTATAATTGGCCTGTAGTATAGGAACAAATCATGCCTACGTGCAAAAACCTGTAACTATTTCTACATCTTTCTTTATTGAGTTCTTTTTCTTGACAAGAACAAATAAACTTAGCACCTATTCCTTCTTTGCATGGCTGTGGTTACTTTTTCACTTACTTATCCACCTAGCAAATGGGGAATAACATTACTGTCTGAGGTCAGCTGTGCTCTTTCTTTGAAACTGAAACCTTTTAAGGTTCTTTCTTCTTCCTTCTACGAAAATACAAAGCACTAATTCCTTGGTCCATGGAGGTATTTCTGCAAATAAGGGAGTTGTATAGTAACTCCGTCCTTCCTAGAAAGAACCTAATATCCCCATTAATGTGAAAATAGGATTTGGGTGGTACAAAGGCCCCTTGGGCAGACACAGAGTTTCTGTGTCAGTTGTACTAATTTTCTCTCCTTTCTTTAGGTTGGTGTATAAGTGGTTCCTGCTGATCTATAAAATCAGCTATGCCACTGGTATCGTTGGTTACATGGCTGTCATGTTTACCCTCTTTGGTCTTAACTTACTATTCAAGTGAGTACCTTTTGCTTTTATTTTTGCTGGTGTTAGGGAGGAGGGACTAATGAAATGTACCTGTCCTCTTGCTGCAAGCCCTGAGTTTTTAACTAGGGAAATGATCCCTGGGATAGGAGACCCCCTGTTATTTGTGCTGGCAAAGAGAGAGGAATGTTGGAGTATGTACGAAGTCAGAATTCCAGCTCACTGCTTTTAATTCCTAAAAGTATGTATTTTAGTGGAAAAGTGTAATAAAGCATAATAATTTATGGATAACAGATTATAGTCTGTTATCCATAAGTTCATCACCCTGCCAGAAACATTTTTCTTATCCATGTGTATACTGTTTATTGTAACTTCCACTCTATCTGAGTTGTCCTCTGTTCAATGACTAGGAGTTGGCAAACTATGTCCTCTGAGCCAAATTGGCTTACTACCTGATCTTATAAAATTAAAATCTGGGACATAGTCATGCTAATTTGTTTATTTATTGTATATGACTATTTCTGTCTAAAACAGCAGAGTAGAATAATTGTGTCATATGGGCTTCAAAACCTAACCTGTATGGCTCTTTATACAGAATAAAATTTACCCCTAAACCAGACAGTGGGACAGTTGGCAGAGACATCACTGACAAACCTGGCAACAGATTCACTTAGAAAATTACAGTCAGTAAATAACAGGACAGTATCTTGAAGAGTCTTCACAGTAAACCCAGGGTTGAGATATGAGGGAATGAAACTACACAGAACTAAAGTACATTTCCTCCTAAGAAACAAGTCCAGTTTTAAGAATCTCCTGTCCAGAAACAAATTACTAATCACAAGTCATGTTTCACTTATAGGCACTGTTGTATTGTATCACAGCTGGCATTCTACCTTATCACCTCTCCAAAGAAATGGATCTAGTATTAACTGATTTAAGTTCTACTCCATTATTGGGCGCTTAGGTGTGGCATTTTTTGTTGTTATTGTTGTTGTGTTGTTCCAATTTAATGCTATCACAGTACATTGCTATGCTGCTTTCTAAGGAGTCATCTCCAGGAGTTGGATTCTGATTGTTGCTTCACATTGTTATAACTTTCCAAAAGATTTATGCCAGTGTACTGGTCTAGCCCCAGTGGAGACAGAAGCCTAGTAAACCTGGCGTCAGGCTAGAGGGGACAGTGAGTAAGTAGGGCAAGAGAAGGTAGGAATATGGCTTCCTGGGTGAGGTAATGATGGCTGTGAATCTGAGGTAACATTGCATTGAACCTTGGTTTAGGATTCAAATTTAATTTCCTGACCACTGATCTCTTACCTAAACCTAGTGTACTGTAGGCAAAGTGTGAAACTGAAAGAAGTTCTACTTTATATAGTGAGAGGATACTTTTGAACTTCCTTTTTCCAGAGGTAGTAAAGGCTGAGAGAACAAACACTCACAGAGGTTTACGCGTCAGTATAGTGTTCAGCACATATTGTCAAGAAAACAGGGTATTTCAAGCTATTCATAACATGTTTGGTTTTTTCTTTAAATAAAGATCCTACTTATTTTATAATTTATAATAGTTTCCTTATTCTGTATAGACTATATAAAGAAGAAAACACTACTTGGGATAAGATCATGGTCTCTAGTTAGTCTCTAGTCAGTAAGTTAAATATTTTAAGATTAACAAATTCAATTTTTTTTTAAAGATTTATTTATTTGTGCATACAGAATTGGGGTACAGGCCAGAGGTGCAGGGGCGGCAAGAGGCCTCACCAGAGACAGAGTGGGGGGCAGAACAGGCAGATCGACGAAGTACACTGCTGAGGGGAGCAGTGGGCGGGTCAGGAGAGGTCTGCCACGCCATGTGGTCACTTCCGGGGCAGGCGGGGATCGAACTCATGCAGAAGTGGCTTTAGCTTCTCAGTGCTGTGCTTTAACCTGCTGCGCCACCAGGGAGGGCCAAATAAATACAATTTTTAAGGTAAATATAATCATTAACTTTAAGTGAACAAAAATAGTTTGTGGTACAAATATTTAACAAAGGTAGTTTTCTACTGTAAGCATCTATACCATATAATAAGCATCTATAGTTGCAATACTGTTGGCCTTTGGCATTACTAAAGCAAATCATGTAGTAGTACAGGCAGGATCTTTGTCCTTAGTAAACAGACTTGCACCTTTGAAGACACAGAATATATATAGGTGCTGCTCAGAATTTTATGGTAACTGGTATGTAAATATTTTTCATCTTTCCCCCCCTAAAGCTGTGGCTGACAATTTTTTTTTCTATAAAGAGCTAAGTAGTAATTATTTAGACTCTCTGGGACAAAAAGCAAACTCTAGGACATTATGCAGATACTGTATAACAAATGAGACAACTTCTTCCTTATACCACCCTGTTTGCCTGGGTAGACTGTCCAGGTGGTAGGCAATCCACTTGCCTTCAGATGAGACATTCTCAGGAGGAAGGGCTGAAAAAGGAGGCTGTGACCATGGGGTCATTTTCACACTACTCTAGTGACACCCAGATGCAGATGTGTGGGCCCTTCCCTACTTTCAAAGGGCTCAACTTGGGCTGGAGATATGGTAATTCAGTGAGCTGCCACCTTCAAAACGGACATTTTATTGCTTGATGTTCAGCAGTTGCCAACAGTAGACTCTTTAGTACAAAGATGTTAACCACTGTGTGCCTAAGGCAAAGTGTAAGGCATGTTGACCAGGCAAAGGAAGCAGGAACTGGGAACAGAGTGAGCATAATGAGCAGAAGGGGATACCCTGTTTTTACCACTATGCTGTTAGCCTATTCAAGTAGTGCTATATTAAAAGGCTATGTTAAAACAGATAGTTGGCTAGATTGGTTTTAGTGTGTCAACACGTACTCTAGTCCTTGAGCCTTCCAACTTTAGGCCACTGTTTTACATATCCCTGAGTAGTCATTCAAACCAGTGTGTTTTAGGGCAGGTCTTACAGAACATGCTGCTTTCCTTACAGGGTCAAGCCAGAAGATGCTATGGACTTTGGCATTTCTCTCCTCTTCTACGGCCTCTACTATGGAGTTCTTGAACGGGACTTTGCAGAAATGTGTGCAGACTACATGGCATCTACTATAGGGGTAAGTTCACCCAGGTTCTTAATACTGCCTCTCTAGAGAATGCAGGATAGCATCATTTTTTGGAAAGAAAGGGTAAGTCATACAACTAGGTGGTATATATGAAGATTCCTTCCTTAAAATTTGCAAAGTCAGGTCCTCCCTGGTGGCGCAGTGGGTTAAAGCACAGCACTAAGAAGCTTAAGCCACTTCAGCATGTGTTTAATCCCCGCCCTAGAGGTGATCCACGTGGCACAGCAGACCTCTCCTGACCCACCCGTGTTCCCTTCAGCACTATACTTCCTCAGTTGGCCTGTTCTGCTCCCCACTCTGTCTCTGGTGAATACTTTCACCTCCACTGCACCTCTGGCCTATACCCGAGCTCTGTATGAATGACTATTTTTTAAAAAATTTGCAAAATGATGTAAAAAAAAAAATTTGCAAAGTTAGGTCTCAAATGTACCTTGGGCTTTTTTATTTTTTTTATGCACAAAAAAATTTTAATATTCAACAAAAGTATATGACAATGTAAATTATAATGTTTACTTCATACACCCAAAGAAATTCTTTTTTTAATTTATAAAATTTATAATTTTATTTATAATTTTATATCATTGTGTATTTCTTGTAAAAGTCTCACCACCAATTCACCTGTGTACTCATCATAGTCTAATCCCTGTGTGCTTCTCTCCCATTTTGATCCCTTCTCCCTCTCTCTCGCAGAATGTCTCTGATTTATGATGGTTGCCTCCTGATTTTGTTTATTATGTTTTTTTCTGAGCCCTTATTTAGTTTCCCTACATTCCTCCTATAAGTAAAACCATTTGGTGTTTTTTCTTCTTCCCTCTAGCTTAAGTCACTGAGCATGAGCCCTTCTGGCTCCGTCCATGTTGCTGTGAATGACATGAGTTTGTCTTTTTGTTTAGTGAATAGTATTCCTTTTTGTATATATGCCACCACATCTTCTTGATCCAGTCATGTTTTTGATTCTGCCCTTTTTTTGACTGGATTGTTTACTTTGTTTTTGTTGAAACTAGTGAGCTCTTTGTAGATCTCTGAAGTGTCCCTTATCAGTTGTATTGTGTGCAAAATTTTTTTTTGCTAGTGTCACTTTTGCTGTAGAGAAGTTTTTTAGTTTGCTGTAATCCCAGCTGGTTATCTTTTCCTTCACTTTCCTTTGGAGGATGTGTCTTTAAAAATATTATGCATGTTATACAGTGTTTTGTCATGGTTTCAGGTCTTACACTCAGGGCTTTCATCTATTTTGAGCTTGTTTTTGTGCATTGTGTGAGGTAGTAGTCTAATTTTGTTCTTTTGCAAGTAGCAGTCCGGTTTTCCCAGCACCATTTATTGAGCAGACTGTCCTGTTCCATTGAATATTCTTTGTTCCTTTGTCAGATATTAGTTGTCCATAAATAGGTGGCTTTATTTCTGGGTTTTTTATTTGATTCCATTGGTGTGTGTGTTAGTTTTTGTTCGAGGACCATACTATTTCAATTTTTAGAGCTTTTTAGTATGGTTTGAAATCAGGGATTATGATACCCCATTCTCCTTTTTATTCAGGAGAGCTTTGGCTATTTAAGGTTTTATTTGTGGTTTCATATGAATTTCAACAGTATTTATGTTCTTTGAAGAATGTCATTAAAGCTATAAATTGCTTTCAGTAGGATGGCCATTTTGATAATGTTAATTCTTCTGATCCATGAACAAAGGATATATTTCCATTTCTTTGTGTTTTCTGTACCTTATAGTTTTCTTTGTGTGAGCCCTTTACCTCTTTTGTTAGGTTTATTCCCAAGTTATTTGATTTTTTTTCCCTTTTGTTTCCCTATAAAAGGGATGGCTTTCTCAATTTCTTCATTTTCAGTTTGATTGTGTGCATATAAGAAAGCTACTGATTTTTGCATGCTGATTTTGTAGCCTGCTACTTTACTAAACTGGTTGATTATTTTTATTAGTTTTTCTGTGGAGATTTTCTGGTTCTCTATATATACTATCATATCATCTGCAAATAGTGATGGTTCTACTTCTTTGCCTATTTGGATTCCTTGTGTGTCTTTCTCTTGTCTTATTACGCTGTCTAGGGCTTCCAATATTGAAAAGCAGTGATGTGAGTGGACTATTTAAGCAATAATTGTAGTAGTTTGGGGAAGATCAAGGAAGGTTGGATTGGAGCAGAAAAAGTGGAAAGGAAGAGAAGTGGACTATTTGAGAAGTATTTTGGAGATAAATTTGACATGATTTGATGTAAATTGGCTCCAGAGACTGATAGATAGGTTTTCGAGCTAAAGCAATTCCTTGGAATATAAACTTTTCATTGAGCCTGGAAATGTGTTAAGAAGATTAGGTAGAGACTGTGGAGAGAGTCTTCAAACTTAAAATGTGTATAAAATGTCAACCTATTTAAGAAACCTGATTACATATCTCACTTTTTTCCCCTCAAACTATGACTTCATTGTTTTGCTGTTATGAATGCAATAGATTTCTCTTTGTAATTATGTAAACAATGCAGAAATTAAGTCCTATCTCAGTATCATTCCTTTAGACTCCCCAAATTTAAAAAAACCAGCAACAATAAATGCTGGTACAGATGTGGGAAAAAAGGACTCTCCTATACTGCTGGTGGGAATGCAAACTGATCCAACCATTATGGAAAGCTTGGTGAAGGGCCTTCAGACTACTAAAAACAGAGCTACCAAATGACCCAGCAATCCCACTCCTAGGAATCTACCCAAATGACACAAAACATTAATTTGAAAGGAAGTCTGCACTTCTATGTTTATTGCAGCACTATTTACAATACCTAAGATGGGGAGATGATTTAAATGCCCCCAAACAGGGGCCTTCCTGGTGGTACAACAGGTTAAAGCTCAGCACTATGAAGTGATCCACAGCCACTGCAGCACAAGTTTGATTCCCAGCTGGGGAGGTGACCCTCATGGTGTGGCAGACCTCTATTGACCTGCCCGCTCCTCCCCTCAGCAGTGTATTTCAGTTGATCTGCCTGTTCTGCTCCCCACTCTGTCCCTGGTAAATCCTCTCACCTCCCATATCTCTGGCTTGTACCACAGTTCTTGTATGCATAAATAAATAAATCTTTTTTAAAATATATAAATGTCCGGCGAGAAAATAAGAAAAATAATGAATAACCATATACCAGAGATATTTTGTGGGGGTGGAGTGGGGAATGGGATCAAAAACGGGGAGGGGGGGAGAAGGAAGGGAAATGCACGGGACTATGGTGGTGGCACATGGGTGATTTGGTGATGGGAAACCCGCGGGGATTACTATCGAGATGGAAAAAAAAATGTGCAAAATGATGTAAAAATAAACTTTTGTAATAATTAAAAAATATATATATAAATGTTCTAAAACAGATGACTGGGTCAAAAAGATGTGATATATAATTAGTGAAATATTGTTCTGCAACCAAAAAAAGATGAAACGCATGCCATTTGAAGCTGGAAGGGTTTATGCTCAGTGAAATAAATCAGAAGGAAAAAGAAAAAATATCAGATGGCTTTACTTACAGGAGAAACATAGGGAAACCATACAAGGGATCAGGAAAAAGACTAGCAGACAAACTATAAATCAGAGATACTCAGTAGGGAAGAGGAAAGGACAAAAGGATGTGGTGATGGTTCAAAGGTGACTTGGTTTGGAAAGTCATGGGGCTTACACCTGTAAGGAGAAATCAAGCATTTTACAGAAATGAACAATGGTGTAAAAAATATTTATATATAAAGATTTCATATTATGTATCTTTTACAATCATTATTAAGATTGTGAAAAAAATAGGTCATAGGAAGTTTTCACAAATAAATTTCAAGTCCTTTTCCTTGGGTTGAAGGGGAAATGTAATGTAGCTACTTAACAGTAAGTTGTAGGGAAAGTGTACAAAACTTGGAATTTCTTCTTGGAACATGGTATTGGTTATCCCTGGTAATTGTGATAGTAAATAATTAAAAGTAATACACATTTACCAAGGAAAAATTGTGCAGAAAAGTACATTAAAGGAAAGTAATCATCTTTGATTCTACTACAGAAATACCAGTGGTGTAAGCTTTCTGATCTGTTTCCTGCTTGATTTGGGCTTGTCTTTACAAGCAGCACTTGTTGATTTTGTGTCCTGCTTTTGACATCATTACAGCTGATTGGCTGTATGTTTACCCCGCTGTGTGTGTGCTGTAATTGACTTAGATAGTCTTCTATTGTTGATCATTTATGGTTTTTCCATTTCATTGCTTTTTAAATACATTTTTATGTTGTCATTTATGTAACAGAGAATATATTATTATAGCTGCTTTAAGTACACAGTGTGGTACATTAGGTGCATTCATGGCATTATGCAGCTGTCATCACTGTTTTCAAAAACTTTCATCCCTTCCAGACAGAAACTGAGCCCATTGGGCAGTAACTCCTCTCTCCTCTCCCAGCCCTGAGTTGTCCCCAACCTTTCTCTCGCTGAATTTTCCTAGTCTTGATATTTTGTAAAAATGCAATCATAATATTTGCTCTTTATGTTTGAGTTACTTCATTAATATAATGTTCTCAAGATTTTACATGTTGTAGCATGTGTCAGAACTTTTTAGGAATGAGTAATATTTGTATTTCGTTGTATGGCTATGGCACGGGTTGCTTATCCATTTATCTATTGACGGACTTGGTTTGTTTTCACCTTTCGTGTGATAAATAATACTGTAAATAATACTGGTGTACAGATATGTGTTTATTCTGTTTGGGGGGGAGGGTGATGTATAACTGAAGAATGAAATTGCTGTGCCGGGTAATAATTCTGTATTTAACTTCCTGAGGAATTACAAATTCTTTTCTTCAATTGCAGATAATATTTAAATGAATATATTTGCATTAAGCTTTTTGACATGCTACTTATTTCATAATTCTTGAAGTGAAATTAATGAGTTAAAGATTGTGACAGTTTGAGACATAAACTATCCTAAAGAATTGCACCTCCTTTACTGTTGTCAAAAGTGTTTGAGAATGGCCTTGTCACCAAACCAGCAATGCACTGCACGTTTCACTGTTCTGAATCTTGGAGAAGGAATGCCACCTCTCACTTGATAGCCTGGCCCCAGAGCGGCTTTCCCCACAGCTCCTCATCCCACCCTGAGACTTCTTCCTTTCATTCCTCACCTCCTGTGCTGCCCAGCCTGGCTTTCCTATTACAGGTCCTGTTACATCTCACTTCCTAACCTCTCTCTGGTCTGACTGGTTCTCTCCATTCACCTAGCAAAGACAAGGTCGATTTAGCATCTGAATAGTGTTCTCTAGTTCTGCTTTCCCCCTGCCACTTTGCCTCCTCTGCATAGGCCTCTCAGGTACCTTCCAGTTTTGCCTCATACTACATCTTTCCTCTCTTCCCCCTGGTCTCTCCACCCAGTTCTACAGTGAGTCGGGCATGCCTACCAAGCACCTCTCAGACAGTGTGTGTGCCGTGTGTGGGCAGCAGATCTTTGTGGACGTCAGTGAAGAGGGCATCATCGAGAACACGTATAGGCTATCCTGCAACCATGTGTATCCTCCAGCGCACCTCGACCTCACCTGCCTGGCAGTCAGGGAGGAGGAGTGCTCGTAACCTTGGCCCACTGTGCAGACCTCTGAGCGCAGGAGTGACTAGAAGGCAGGCATTCAGGTGATGTTCCCTGTCGGCGAAGCCAACACCCAGGAGTGGAAGCTGCAGCTTCCCATGCTTTTTGCATGGGAAGCCACAGGTGTGCATACGTGTCTGTGGACACTGTTCCCAACACATTCCTGCCATCCCTGAGCAGGAGGTGCTGACTAGTCCTATTTAAGACTCTTGTCTTCAGGGTGTAATTCATAATGATATAACTCCAGGGCCAAACTGAGAGAGAGAGTTTGTGTAGGGGGCTGTGTAATCTCATGAGGTTCAACCTGTGCTTCCCCAGAGGAGAATTTCCAGCTCCCTCTCCCACCAGTATTTAGCTGTAAGTAAATTTCCAGGGCCACTTGACCAGTGCCATTGACCATATGGATAGAAAAGGGGCCTGCAGCTGCCCCAGCTGCCCTGGGGGTGAGTCAGCCACGGGGGAGGAGCATCCTCTAACAATTCCTCAGTTTCAAGATCAAGTCCCCCCGAATATCACTTCTAACTCACACATTGAAAACTAGCTGGGGCTAAAGTCATCTTGTCTGCCGTTTCCTTGACCAAAGTCCTCAGGTTCCATGAGTTCTGCATTCGAGGCTGGTGCATTGTAGGAAAGAAGCAGACGTGTCCCTACTGCAAAGAGAAGGTAGATCTCAAGAGGATGTTCAGCAATCCGTATCCTTTTGTTTCGTTTCTTGTTGGGGAGAAATTACTGACCCATATGGCCCTGCTTTTTGGTCCCTTGGGCCCCTCCCTCCCGCTGGCCTAGGACTACCATTCTGTTTGGCTTGTGATCTGGGAAGTTGGTCTTGGAGCAGGAGACAGGGCTAGCTCAGCTTCCTATCATGGTTCCAGAACTCTTGAGGGTAAATTGGTAGTAATAGTGGCTCCACTTACTGTGTGGCTAGCACTGTATTCAGTACATTACTGGGGTTATCCTTTAAAAAAAAAAAAAAAATATATATATATATATTGGCCCTCCCTGGTGGCGCAGTAGATTAATGCAGCACTAAGAAGCTAAAGCCACTTCAACATGAGTTCGATCCCCCGTCACCCGGAGGTGACCACATGGTGTGGTAGACCTCTCCTGACCCACCTGCTGCTCTCCTCAATAGTGTGCTTCATTTATCTGCCTGTTCTGCTCCCCACGCTGTCTCTAGTGAATCCTCTCACCACCCACGCACCTCTGGCCTGTACCCAAGTTCAGGGGTAAATAAACATAAATAAATAAATCTTTTAAAAAATGTATTTATTTATACATACAAGAACTGGGGTACAGGCCAGAGGGGTGAAGCGGAGGAGAGAGGGTTGAGAGGATTCACCAGAGACAAGAGTGGGGAACAAAACAAGCAGATTGACCGAAATATACTGCTGGGGGGGAGCAGCAGGCAAGACAGGAGAGGTCTGCTGTGCCTTGTGGATCAGCCCCCTAGCCTGGGCTCTAACTCCTGCTGTAGTGGCTGTGAATAGCTTCATAGTGCTGTGCTTTAATCTGTTGTGCTACTAGGGAGGCCCCTGTGATTAGCTTTTTTGATCTCTAGCAGATTTATCAACTGGGTAATTACTCTTTTACAAATGAAGTAGTTTAAAAGTTGAATAACTTGTTTAAGGTTCCCTAGTGAATGGGTGATGCCACCTTTGATGTGCGAGCTGGAGACCAGCTCTGGCTGGTGCAGGCCTGGCTACAGGATTCCTTCTTCTCACCTTCAACACAGGACCTATGTTCCTCTGAGCTGTCATTTCCTATCCTGCTGCCCTCACCACTGTGCCCTTACCACCCCTTCTTCCTGTTGGACAGTATCTGACCACTTTGCTGGCTCCATCTTTAGTTTTCCCTGAGATCATGCACCCAGCTTTCTCCCCTCTCCTTTATCAACTGCCCTCTCATACTGCTTCCTACCCCTGGACATAGCTGGGCCATTCCCAGACTGCTCCCACGGTCTCTGAGCAGGGGACACTGACTCCTTGAAGGTTGTTTGCTTAGTTTTTCAGGGCCAGTTCAGGTGTAACTCGCTTCCTTTCTTTCTGGGCTAGAAAGTGTAGGCTAGCACTCTTACTATCCCTTAGACTATCCTTAGTAGCTTAAACACAATGTGACTTTTCTTTAACACCCTGTCAGCTGGGAGAGGCCTCACGTCATGTATGGACAACTGCTGGATTGGCTTCGATACTTGGTGGCCTGGCAGCCTGTCATTATTGGCCTGGTGCAAGGCATCAACTACATCCTGGGCCTGGAATAGTAGGAGGATGAGCATCTACCCACCACGGACCTCAGGGCACTCTCCTCCCTGCGCTCTAAGACCTCCTGGGTGGGAAAGACTCAAAGGGGCACTTGGGCCACTCAGGATCCCTTCCCCTGACTGTGTCCAGACTGGGAAGGTACATGATGGAGAGCCAGCCAGTGGAGCTGTCAGCAGTGGGGGCTTTTTAAAAGAAAACTATTTTGATGAATATATCTAAAAACCTTTTTTATTGTGGAGCCTAGGATTTGCTCTAACTCCTCCAGGCTTCACCCTTGCTGCTTGGGCAGGGAGGGGCAGCAGAACCATCATGTTTTTGGGTTAAAGGAGCCCTCTCACTTCTGGCCGGCAGCGTCACCTCCCCCTCCCTTTTCCCTCCATGGGGCTCAAGCCTGGTACCCTCAGTGTGGAAGAGACTAAGAGCTCTTGACTGGTGCCACAGAAGAGCGCTGAGGCGTCCTCCTTTCCCGCCTGGGACCTGGGAAGACAGCGACACTCTCTCCCCTGTCCAGGTGCGATAGGCCGGTTGAGGCAATTGGAACCTTGTGATTTTTCCCACAAGGGAAGTCCTGGGGCCTTAGAACTCATCGAAAATTTACTTGGGGACAGCTTAGCATGATAGCCTGCCCCCAAGCAGGGCTGTGCTCAGCTGAGGACAGATGCCATCCAGGTGTGGCTGGCCTGCAGGGCTACTTCAGCAGCAGTGATTGTACACACTGTCCCTGTAGCGAGGAAGTAGTGACATGTGCCAAAGGCTGAGCTGCCACTTCTCTTCTTCCCTGAAAGCCTGACTTGAGCGTATATGCGTGCAATGGCAGCGGGCCTGTGGCAGGCGTAAGACTGTGCAATCAGTGTGTCCTTGAAGCTGGCAGAGAGATCCCTCCAGGGACTAGACTCTGTCAGCCTTGTCACTTGTGGGCCCTGCCTGGGCCTGGTAACAGGAGGAGTGGGGCAAGTGGGAGAAGAGGGTGAGGCCCCAGCAAGCTCCTTTCTGAGAGGGAACTGAGGCAGGAGAAAAATGTCAGCTAGAGCCCTGGAGAAGAGGAAGTAAGTGTAGTTTACATCTAAAACTGGGAATAGCTCCAGCTCTGGTCCTGGGAATTTTGAAGGAAATGGGAGGGCAAACCTTGGCCTTCAGCAGTGGGTTCCTAGGGAATCTGCTGGCTGGGTCACCTTTTCAAGGGCAGCAAGAATCAACAAGCTCTTGTCACTCTGTTTTGAATAAAGCTCCATGAGCTGGGTTGGAAAACTGACCCTCCATCTTGCTTTTCTTCTCCCTACCTTTTCCTCTGGGGTACCTGAGTTGCCTTACCTTTGCTGCCTTTTGCTGCTCCCATTTGAGAGCTGGGGCTAGGGGTGGTGGGGTACCTCGCTCCTGTCCTGGGGCATTACTGGGCCCCTCAGATCTTACCACTTGAGGTCTTTCCTCAGGTACCCTGCTGCTTTCCTCCCTTCTCATGGGCCGCTTGCAGCATCGCCTTCTCTTACGCAGCTGCACCTTCTGTGGCCCCTGCTGCTTGTGCCTGTGGGCCCTCTCTGAGGGAGGAAGGGGGCTGACTGCAGGATCTGGGTTACCCTTGTACTTCATCCCCAGTCTGGCTCATGTGAGACCGAGGCCAGCTGACCTATGTATACGCTTCATACTTCAGTTGTCCTGGTTCCCATGACCTCCCAGTGGCCCAACTCTGGAATTCTCCCTCCCCTCCCCACCCCTCTCAGAAGTGTCTCTTGGGTTAGTCTCACCACCTGACCATTTCTCTGTAGTTTGCAACTTAGGAACTGAGGCAGGGGGAAAATGTCAACTAGCGCCCTGGAGAAGAGGATGTAAGTCTAGTTCACATCTAAAACTGGGAATATGAATGATTTTTACACACATACACACACACACACACACACACACACACACTTAGAGCAGATGATACCCTGACACCTTCTCCAAACCCTGTTCTATTGCCTGGCATCCCTGGCTGTTGTCCTCCTCCTATCAGAAAGCACAGATGTGAGACCCGCAGGCCCTATCCTTCACAGTGGCACAGTCCTGACCGCTAGTGTCAGACATGTGCACCCCAACAGCAGCACGTGCAGTGTTGTCCCTGGTGCTTGCTGGCCTTAACCCTAGTCCCGGCCCTGCCACCACCCAGCTCCGTTTGTTCCATCAGGACCAAACTAATAGGTAAGTAAGTCGTCTGCTTTTTGAGCCAGTAAGAGGCCATTTGCCCATCTTGCCTGGGAAGTGCCTGTTCCTCCTCCTAGGACCAGTTCTCCCGGTGCCTACAGTGAAGGGGGAATTTGAAGTAGGAGCATTCGTCATGGGCTCCTTGGGGGCTCCACGACAGTCAGGACTTCTGATGAACGGAAGCTTGTGGCTGTGGCCAAGGAAGGAGCTGGATGAAGACGTGGGAAGGGCTTGCAGCTGGGAGGGTGGTGCTAGGCTAATGGATGGGGAGAGTAAGGAGCTGAGGTCAGCATGTGGATGGGCTGTTCGTGCAGTTGAGCCTGAAATGGTCCGTGACCATCTTGGGTCTCTGGTGCCTAGGAGAGTTGTCCCCTTAAATATCAGGGTGAATGTGAAGGAAGAAGGAGAAGGCTTAGCAGACTGGGTGGACCTCACGGTCCTGACCCTTGACTGAGATGGGTGCATGGAACTGTGAGGCTCTCAGTAGTCACTGTGTCACCTTGGTTTGATATAAGATCCCAGTCCAATGTCAAATTGGGGGGAAGGGAGTAGGGGCCTGGCATGACTGTTGTCTCCACAAGTATTCAAGCTCTGAATCCCCTCACTAGAGTAAACGTGAAACTGAAACCATGGGAAGGGGCTGGGTATTCCAGGATCTCACTCCTCTTCCCAGAACCAACTCCACAGTGAAAAGCCTGCCTCTCGATGACTAGGTAAGTCCTGGGCTCCTTTGGCCTTCGGTTTCTCTATCTCTGCAGTGAAGGAATTAGTTTAGATGAATAGCCAACACATGTTCGTGGGAATACGAGATGGAGCTACAGGGACAGTCACTAGAGGGGACTCTGCCTTTATTTCTAAGTGTGAATGAGCCTTTCTCAGTCCAGGATGCCAGTTCTTGGGGGTTACCAACTGGGCCAGATGGACAGGACAGAGTAATTATCAGTGGCTGGCAGCTCACCGGAAGTCCAGACCCAGGGAGGGGCTATGGAGTTTTCAGGAAGGAGTGCCATGCTTAGGGGTAGGATTTAAACAAGCAGCTTGTTTTTCTTCCCCTTCCTATCAACTACCATTTAACAATCAAAAGACAGTTGTCACAGATATATAGAGGCAGCCTCCTGACACAAGTGTCAAGACTGTGAGACCAAACTGGACACTGGACACTGATAGGTGGCTGTGTGGGGGGGGGGGGTCTGAAGAGAGGGGAACAGTGTGACTTGCCCCAGTCTTAACCCACATGATCTTCTACTTTTGTGCTGTTGCTTTCAGCCTCAGTCCAGTTCTAAGGCTCTGGCTGCATTCCAAACTCCTCCAGGAGGTAGGGGCTGAGGAGTCCTCTGATTCCCTCAGCCTGAGTTATGACCAGTGAGGTGCCAAGGTAGGATGCTGAGTGTCTGCAGGTAGTGGGACCACTGCTGACTGTCTTTTCCTCAGATCCCAGCCCTGTGAAAGTCCTGCTCTGTGCCCACATTGTCTTCCACCTGACTGGAGGCATAATCACCACAGCCTCGGCCATGACCACAGAGGACCCTGGTCCTTCCTGGTCCCTGATGATCCCTACAGCTAAGCAGTGCCCAGCGCTGGAAGTGACCAGGCCTGAACTGGAAAACCTACCAAGTAAGGAGTGGTCAGAGGGCAGACTGTGGGCCCAGGGGCCAACCCTTTTGCTATGTACCCCACTGCCCATCAGGCCAGTAGCACTCTCGCTGTTCTCTCTCCTACCCACCTTTGTGTGTGGTTACTGGCTCCCAGGCTCCTCCCTACTGAAGGGACAGAATCAGGTGTGGGGAATGGTTGTAGGCTCCCAGAGGCAGAGAAGCTGGGCACTAGTAAGTTCATCCTGGAAAAGCCAGCCTGGAGTCGCCACATGAAGGACCCACTTCCAGATTCCTTGGATTTGACTGTGGGCCTCCCTCAGAGATAATGCGCTTGCCCTTTAAGACTCCCCCTTGTGTGCTGGGGACCTAGGGGGAAAGAGGCAGGAGCCTGCTCTGTGGAAAGGCTGACTGCTACTTGTATCCCTAGATGGAATGCTGACCTTGTCCTGTAGGACCTACAGCCAGTTTGCCCACTCCAGCATCCTCTACTGGCTGAGCAATGGCTCCTTCATTGAGCACCTCCCTGGCCAACTGCTGGAGTGTGTGACACCAGGTGAGGCACTGAGGAGAGGGCAACAGGAAGGAGGCCTGCTCCCAGCCCCCTCACTCTCTCCTTTGCTGCGGTGGATAGCAGGAAGAGCTCTGCTCTAGCACGGGGTGAATTGGTGGGCTCTGCCCCAAGCACCCACAGCTAATAATGTTCCCAAGACTAAGACTGAAGTAGAAGCAAAAAAGACCTTAGAACTCAGGCAGGGGGGTGGTGGTCTGGCCTGGAGGAAAGTGACAAGAGGTGACTTTTATCACCTTGACCCTTGTCTATCACTTCCCCAGGAGGGGCCGCCCCTGGCTCAAGCAGCCACAGCACCAGCAGTGCCAGTATGAGGCCAGCAGGCAACTCCTTGACCAGAGCCCTATAAGGACTCTTCCTTGTTCCTGGACAGCTCTTAGTTCGGCCTGGCTGAAATGCCATGTCTTTGGTCAAGTCTCTGCTCAGCCACATTCCATATCAACTTAACCTTTTTACCTGTTTTCTGTTCTCTCCTTGAATGGGCTTTCCCAAGGAGGAGATGGGGGCAGTGGTGTGCTGACATCTGTTCATTCACCATCATTCGACTACAGCACTTGGCCTGACCCAGGAGTGACTGACACTCAAGCTAAGACACACCACATTCAGAGTGAGCCTTCAGAAGAGAATGACCCCTAACTCCTCAGGAAGAGACGCTAGATCAAGGGTGCCGGAGGACCTTGAGGAAAGGTAGGATTAGTCTGGAACATACAGCAGGGACAAAGGTGGGTCCACAGAGCCCATATTACCCTATTGCACAGATTAAGGCAGCTCTCAACACTTAAGGGAGAAAAATAGACTTTATTTACAAGTAATAACATTTAGAAAAGATCATCCCAACACTCCCAGTCCCAACCCAGTGACAGGTCTGGGGTGGGTAGGGGGTGAGCTGCCTCTGAAGGCTGCCCAAGGCCCACTGATCCTGGAAAAGAGCATCCTCTGGGCCACTGCATCCTTTGGTTAGGTGAGAGCACCAGAAGGTGGGGTGCCCCCACTAGATCAGTGCCCAGTCCTAGACTTTTAAGAGAAAGGGCCCTGCTCCTCCAGTGGTCCCTTCTAGGGGCTGAGAGGCCTCCCTTGGCCCAAAGCCAGCCTCAAGTCTGGTTCTGATGGAGTAGTGACTTTGCTCTTGGAAAACATCAGGAGAGAGGACCAGGCCACTGCTGACACCTAGCAAGGGCGCTGGTATAGCTCCAGGCTGGGGTTAGCAGGCATCATTGTCTCTAGGGGTTTGGCCACTTGGCCTGGGGGCGGAGAGAAGGCACTGAGAGGACAGGAGACGACCAGGTGAGGCCAGCATCAGCATTGGGGTCACAGGTAGGGCCATTCACTGGTGCTGGTCCTTTAGTGCTTTGCCTGAAAGAGAAACATAGTCACACAATCTCCTTAGTAAGAAATAGCGCCCCCCCCCCAACCCCCCCCGGACAGAGCCCTTGTACTCAGCCCCATCCCCAGTCACTTGGAGGTGTCCCTGTGCTCATCACCCATCAGGTTCCCTGGTTCTTGAGCCCTCCCCCTGGCAGTGCCTCCACCTTGCCCTTGGCCCGAGGGGTGGTGGCAGCAGCGGTCGTGGCAATGCGTGGAGAGCGGCGGGTTCCACTGCGGGTATTGGGGGAGGACTTGGACGGGGCTTTCTTTGAGGCTCCCCTCCGTAGAAGGCTATTCCCGAGCTTCTTGGGTGTGTTGAGGATACTGAAGGCCATTGACTGGCGGCGGTCAGCCTGTGGGAGGAGCTGTTACAATGGGGACTCCCCCATCCAACTTAGTGCTCTAAGCCTTTGCCAGCAAGGACCCACCCCTCCCTCCAGGGTCTATCTCCTGTCCCCGACTAACCTGTTTAACAACTGCAGCTGCTTTCTTCTGCGCCTCAGTAGTGCTCTGTTTGCGCCCTTCATGTCGGTCTCTGGGAGTCATGGGGCGCGGGAAACAGCTGGTAGCCTTTTTAGACTGGGGAGAGATGACAGGATGTCACACTCCAAGCCAGGGTAGACCCTGTAAGTCATCTTGTCCCACCAGGAACCCCATCCTCACATCGACCTGTAGAGAGAGGAGCCTCCCCTTTAATCCACTTCCCAACTGAATAATCTCAGGATACAACAGAGAAACCGATGTCATCTACCTCAGGGGTGCCAGGGCCTTGGTGGGACTCTGAAGAAACACGTTTGCGCTGCTGCCGGGTGGTAATGCCAATGCCTTCAGCTATCTGAGCAGGCTGCATGCTGGCTCTGCGCAGGGTCTCCCGGGGGTCCCCGGTTTTCATCTCCTCATCTGTGATGGTACCCAGGCTTAGGGAAGGCTGCATGGGGTGGAAGTGTCAGCAGTCTTAGATGGTGTTGGAGTACCCCGACTCCCACTGCCCTGGCATGTGGAGCAGCTGAAGCCACCTCCCTACTGCCTGTCCCACTCTGAGTCCTTCCTGGAAGTGTAAGGTCACACCCACTCCCTACCACAAGGCCGAGGGAAAAAGGTGAGCCAGGTCCTGTGCAGGTGACCCCAGTGCTCACTCTAGACTCCAGTGGGTAGCAGGTCTTCAGGTGTGGAGGACAGACTCTGTTGCGCTGCTGCAGTTCTGCAATGCGGTTCCAGTCATCCAGCTGCTCAGGTTCATCCTGGCAAGTTCCCATGTAGAAGCTGTTCCTTCCTATGGGGAAGGCAGGCAAGTCAGTTATGGGCTGGGAGGCAGCAGGTCACCTGCTGGCTTTGCTACCTCGACACTCTGACTTGGAGTCTCTGCCCATTTCCTGCTCTGCTCGATGCTGGTTTCAGGAGTAGAACTCACAGGCCCTTTCTAGCTGGAGGCTTGCTCACTGCTCTCTCTATAGAGACATCATACACAGACTGTGACTCCCACAGAAACTAACTGAAGGTCAGGAATCGATGCTCCTGGCTGGAGCCTCCAAGAGGAGACCAAGGGTATAGCACTGGGCAGCCCCTCACAGAAGGGCCTGGGCTCCTGACAGTCGCTGAGTGACACTACTGTGTCACTTTCTGCAGCTATGTGGGCATTAATGGTTGACCCTGCTGAGAGGAATGTCAGCCTGACTTCCCTTCCCATGCAGTCTTCTGATAGACGTGTAAGGCCTTCACACTGGGGAGGTGGCCAAGGTGCTGGAAAAGTAGTCAGAAAGCCAGTGCTGGATGTTTAAAAAAGTCAGTTCGTCCCGTGTGCCAAGACTGGGTCTGATGAGTCCCCACCACTCCCTCACCTGGAGGGGCCCCACTGGACACTCCAGCCTGAGAGCGGCGTGCAGAGCTGCGTGTGGTGGGCCTGTAGCCGGGCAGGCTCAGCAGAGCTGCATTTCCATCATCAGGAGAACCCAGGCGGGCTAGAGACTGGGCAGAGGATGCAGCTCGCAGGCCAGCCTGGGAGGCAGGGGCAGACTGCGTGCTGTAGAAGGATGAGTTGGCGCTGTCTGGCTCTTCGACATCTAGCTTCTGGAAGAAAGGGTGAAATCTGTTGCAATGGGGTAGAGACCTTAACACTCAAAACTACCTCCTCTGCTTCCCTTCCTGAGGTACCTCAACACCTGTGGTATACCACTTGGCTTTACAGGGAGCCTTAGCTCTGCATCTGCAAGAAATGGTCCCATACAAGGTGAATTTGTCAGTTTTAGAAGGCAGGTACAAAGCAGTGAACTGAGTGTCCCTCCTAGTCATACAGTGTGGTGGAGCCAACCCTGGTTGGGCTCATCCACAGCTTCCCAGCTCTTTAGTCTATCTGGACTCTGACAATTTTCTAGAACCTCTCCAGCTTCTTGGCAACACAGGGAGCTGCCCTCTGCTGCAACGAAGGTGAAGGTCACCTCCTGGAATAGGTAAACAAGGACCTAATCTGGCTGGTAGCCCAGTGTACAGCCACAAAGCATCTTAGCTGCCCCAAGGGTGTATGGGAGGCACGAGCTGCAGCTTCACATTCTATCCCATCAGCCTGCACAGGGTCCATGCTACATGTGGAATGAAAACTAGCCTTAGACTCAGGAGACCCATCCACTTACAGCCTTTCCCCTTCCCACAGAGACCTAAGCAAGTCACTTTAAGACAGCAACTGAACTGCTCAACCCTGCCTGCCTCTTGAGGCTTCTTTGAGGACTGATGGTAAGATGTCCTGAGGGGAGGTATTAAGGGCCTGCAGCCCCACCCCAGCAGCCTGACCTTGGTCATAGTGATGTTGATGATTTGCGTGGTACGCCGGCGAGCAGAGCGGGTCTTCCGGCCTGAGTCCAGAAAGACGTCCCCCAGGGAGTCCAGGCTGCTCTCCAGGGGAGGCTGACCACGAGTAGGGATGGGGGTGAAGTAGAGACTCTCCAGGGATTCTACCTTGGGGGGTAGGCGCTGCGAGACAGGTGAGGCTGGCTCTCCAGGGATGCTGGTGCCATCTGGCTGGGTACGAGGCAGCTTGCTGTAGAAAGAAACCTACTGAGGTGCCATTCCTAGGTCAAGGACTTATGTCCACTCTGCTCTAAAGTAACCAGCTTATATACTTACAAGCAGAACCAGGTAAAGCACCCCATTTTTCCCAGGAGGTAGCTTAAATCCACCCTTATTCCCTAGTGACTTCATTCCGATCCCTTTAAGTCCTCAATTAAGTCCTCAATATTGGCAAAACCCAGACCTGCTCAGCAGGGTCTGGTGAGGCCCCAAATTACCCACTAGGCACCCAGACAGGCCCCTGGATGCCCCCATCTATCTTCCTTCTTCCTGCATGTTCCGTCAGCAAAGAGAAGGAGCCTCCAGTGTGTGCACCAGCACGAGTCTACTGAGTCCCATCGGCGAATCTCACAGCTTTCCTAACCACAGTCCACTGCACTCTTACCGCCGTTTCTGGTCTGCCTCTTCTCCCCACACTGGCGTCTGAGTCACCTGAGTGGTCACGAGCCAGGTTCAAGACCAGCTTGGGCACTCTGGGACTTGGGCAAATGATTGTCTCTCTACCCCTGTTTCATCTGTTAAAGGAGAACCTACCACCTCAGAGGGCTGTTGTGAGGAAAATAACATTTTTCAAGTGTCTGGCATGCATTGTTAATAAAAATCAATGTTTCTAGTCTCAGCTTCTTCACTGGCTCTTGGTAACTGTTTTTTAAGTATGTGGATCTGACCCACAGTGCCTTTAATATAAAATCTAAACACTCCCTCAAAGAGGAAGTCCAACCAGCCCTCCCAGGTCTGGGCCCATGGACGCCTTCTTGAACTCACTTTCCCACGTGCTCTGCTCTCACTGTGCTGTCCATCAAGCACATACAACTACAGGCTGATTTAGCCTCAAAGCAGGAATGACGGACTCTCTGAAGCCATTTCTGACCACTCCTTTCCTTCTACTGTTATGCCCTAAACAAACATCTGGCATAACACCTGTTAATACTTCATTCTTCTGAGAATCAGCTTCCAGAGGGCAAAGGGGCCACATCCTATTTATCTCACAGCCCCAGAGGCTCAAGAGCTGGCGTGATAAACATTAGGTATTTAGTGGACAACAGCTTGAAGAGGAATGTGCCTCTGACCTGGTGATAGTGAGGGGGGTTCCCTCCTCACAGCTCAGGTCCAGGCTGTCAATACTCAAGTCCAGCTGAGGTTTTGCCTGGGGCTCCCGGCTCTTTAAGGCATCGGTTGCCACCTGGAACTTGCCCAGGTCTCGAAGCTGCTGGTCAGCGTGGGCAACCTGGGAAGGAGAGGGGATGGGGAAAGCAAAGATGAGTCTAAGGCAGGATGGTCTAGGAGAGGAGGGCAAAAGGGTCTGACTGGTGAGGGATGTGACCTGATACTTACCTGCGCCTCCAGGCTGCGCACCTGGGCAGTAAGGTGGCGGCAGCTCTGTTCAGCCTCCTTGGTTTTCAGCCCAGCCTGCTGTAGCTCACGGCCCAGCCGCTCGGCTTCGGCCCGCAGCTCCTTGTTTTCCTTCTGCAGCTGCTCCAGGCCTCGCAGCTGTTCCTGCAGCTCTTGGTTCTGTTGCTTCTTGGCATCATAATGGGTCTTGGCTTTCTCCATCTACACGTACAGGGGCAGGCACGTGGGACGGGGGCTAAAAGGCAGGAGGGAGGCAGAGCAGGTAGGGGCTGGGCTCACCTGTAGTTTGTAGTGCTCAGCTGCCTGTTCCTTTTGGCTCAGCTGTGTCTGTAGCTCATTCAGCTGGGCCTGGAGCCTCTGGGCCTCTTGCTGGCTCTCACCCCCCTGGGCCTGGAAATTATGAGAAAGCCTGATCAAGGTGGCTGGTTTGGCTACTCCACCCAAACTTGCCCTGGCCTCTGTTCTCCCAGAATAAGTTTAAAACAAACAAACAAACAAAAAAACCCTTTTACTCTCCCCTGCCTACTTCCAGAACATCACAAACCTTTAAGGGCCATGTTTTGTTTTTTTTTTTTAAAGATTTATTTATGCATACATAAGAGGTACAGGCCAAAGGTGTAGGAGCCGTGATAGCCATTCACCAGAGACAGAGCGGAACAGGCTGAGGAGCTGTGGGCAAGGCAGGAGAGGTTTGCTGCATGTGTATTAATTACCTCCCTGGCTGGAGATGGAACTCATGCTGAGGGGCCCAGCTGTGGCTTCTGCCACTAACTGCTTCTTGCTCTGCTTTAAACCTTTGCACCACTGGGGAATGCCCTTAAGGGCCATATTCTGCAGGAACTTTCAGCAGATGCCTTTTCAGATCGCTGTATCTTTGAGGCCAAGTACAAATTCATTTTCACCCCAGATGCATAGTGTACACCCATCTTCCTCCCCCTCCTTCATGCCTCAAGGGGAAAGAAACATCTTCTGGAAATACCTAGTTGCAGAGCACAGAGCAGCACACAGCATGTGAGCTGTCCCAAGATACATGAATACATCCTCTGTCAGAACCATTGGAAAGTAACTTTGTCTCCATTTCACAGATAGAGAAAACTGAGCTCAAAGATTTCAGGAAAAGTGACCAAATCATAGTAACTAAGTCAGCAGGTTAAGAGTTGAACCTTGGTCTACCTAACTCCAAAGTCTCCCACTCATGCTGCCACCGCCCCTCTCCGGGCCACAGACCCCATGGAGGGTGGGGCCTGTGCCTGGCTCACTGTCCACCTGCATTGCCGGCTTGTGCTCACTTTACTGTAGACACTGGACAGGACCACCGGCCTTACTTTTCTGCATCTCCTAGCACCACCAGAGGCTACCCAAAAGGAGAACAATAAATGCCTGTTTATCACATTATCATGACTTGATGTGGAAAGAGGAAGTGAGCTGGAGAAGCAAAATCCCCACCACCTCCTGTAACCAAACAGGTCTTTAGTGAGTCCCAAGGTCATGAGCGCCCAATTCTTTACTAAAAGCTGTGATGGATGCCTAGAACTACAAAAAGGCAAATATTAAATTGGAGAAAGTAAAATCACTAAAAGCATCAATATTAAGTTGTACTATAATATTAAATGTTGACGCTTTTATTCCTTGAGACGATCTAGATCAGTTAGATCAGTGTCTTCGAACAGAACTTCCTGTCATGGTGGAAATATTCTAAATCTGCCTCTTTGATGCTGTAACCATTACTGCAAGTAGCAGGAAAATAAGGCTAGTGTGACCGAGGAATTAAAAATTTCATTATAACTAACTGAAGTTGAACCACAAAGAACTAGTCGACCAGTACTGTAGAGGGATGGGTGGGAGCCACCTGGACTTTCCTGAAAAGCACACGCAGGTGCTTCTGAGGCAGCAGCTCTCCAAAGGCTCCTCCTCGCACCACATCCACCGCGGTCCAAAGGCCAAGAGCACCTCCTGCCCACACCCATACTCTGCTGCGGACAGAGGTCTATCTCCCCTTTACTGTCTCACCTTCAGCTTTTGTTGCTGGGCCTTGCAGGTCTGCTCATGGTCAGCAAGCTTCTTACTCAGTTCTTCCACCTGAGGCAGGGAAAAGAAGATTCAGGAGGGCTTCACTAGGTTTTCCAGGCAAACTGGGGTTTCCCAGACCAGCCCCCAGTGTTTCTAGGAAGAAACCTGAGTCCTTTCTCCTCATTCTAGTTGGGAAACAGCCGGCTGCCCAGGCTGGTTGGCAGACATGAGTATGACCCAACACAGGTGCTGCTGGGAACACCTGCCCATGCTCCCCTCCACCTGGGCCTGCAACCCTCAGCCCCTAAAATAAGAGAGGCCTGCTGCCACCAAAATCTGCAAAATTGTCTCTGAGGTGGTGACACCCTACTCCTGCCACCATTCCCAGCCCTAACCTTCCCCAGTGGAGAACAGGGGAACTGATTTTTGACTCCGGTAAACACACCCAGTGAACAGCTAACTCTCTTCAAAACTGCCAAGCAAAAGGCCAGATACGCTCAAAACCTCTTTCCAATACCACACTGGGCTTTAGTGTGGCTGTGGTAGTTAGCAGGGGGATCACACTGCTGGAGCACAAGGGCAGGAGAACATACACACTCCAAGCCCACCCCACTTCTACAGAGAGGAAGAGGAGATGAAGCATACTCCCAAGGGCCCTGGAGCTCAAGCCCAAGGCCCAAGGCCTCCATTGCTAACTGCCGTTCAGTTTGATTGTCTCCCATCATCTTGGGTGCCGAGGAGGTGTTGGGTAGGAGAGGAAGGCCTAAGGAAAGGCGGACCGGGTGCTCCCACTGAACAACAGCAATCTTGACCTTTAGAACAGTGGAGATCCTGGGACAACAAGGCAGCCGCCAGGCCTCCCCTTCTGATAGAGACCTTTACTTTCCTCCCAACCTTGGTTTTTCTGTTCCTAGACGTAGCTATCTAAACCATGCTCGAACAGGGTCAGTGATGCAGAGGCAGCATCCAGAGCTCTCACGCCCCTCTAATCTGTGAGAACTGCCTGTGTCACCTTCACAGCTTGTGTGTCAAGGAAGGGACTTGAGCACACAAAGCCCTATCTTCTGAGTGCCCCTAAACTTGGAACAAGACTGGGAGAGTTTACAATCCCAAGGACTGTCACTGGTTCTGGTAAGGAACAAATGAAGCCCACGCTACCCTTCATCGCTGACATGCAGATGACACAGAGTGCAGAGGGCCGGAGAGGCTGGCCAGGGCGGGTAGGATGAGGTGCAAGGGAAGGCCCTGCACATGGCACACCTCAGTCTGGTGCTGAGCTTGTGGCTTGGCGCTGGCCTCTTCACTAACAATTCACCACGGGAGCTGGCGGAGGCAAGCTGCAGGTCCACCTTCACTGCTTAGAGCCCCCGGCACTGCCGGCTCAGTCTGCGCTCCCTGAAATACCTTTAGTTGCCTCACCTATGCATAGAGGTGGGGAACATTGAAGACAGGTGACGTGGGGGTCAAAAAGGCACTGCTGCTCTTGACATGGTCCCCAAGGAGCTAGACGTGTAGAAATTTTAAAAATGTATTTGGCTTATTCTAGTTCGCGGGGCCCCCACTGCAGGTATCCCTCAGTTTGCCTCCAGAATGGGCTGGCAGCCTTCAGGGCTTGACTCTAGGGACAGAGCTAGGGAACGGGAGGTTGTGGATATCTTGGTGAAGGGGCACCAGACTTAAACTACTGCCCTCCTAATCACACAGTGGGAAAGACAAGGCACCCCAACACTGGGAGCCAGAGGCCCTGGAGCACAGGAGGGGAGAGGGACAACGCCTCTCCTCAGGTCTGAGCTCTGGGTGTGTGACTGAGCTGGCACCTTACCTGGCCAGTTAGTTTCTGCCGCTCTTCCTGGAACCGCTGCCTCTCCTCCAGGACCTTGACCTTGGCACCCTCGTACTTGGCAGCCATCACCTCCAGCTCCCGGGCAGTACTCTGTGCTTCCCGCTGCATCTCAGCCAGACGGTTTTCAGCGTCAGCACGGACAGCTGCGAGCTCTTGGCCATACTTCTCCCGAGCCTGGTCCAGCTCCACTTCTAAAAACTGCCGGCCAAGGTTTGCTCGCTCACCCAACCCCCGGTTCTCCTCTGCCAGCAGGCCATGAGCCTTCTTCAGCATGCTCAGCTGCTCTGCGTAGCTGGCCTTCTCCGCTCGCAGCTGCTGGGCTGCTCGCTCTTGCTCTGCCACCTTCTGCCGCAAGGGCACCAGCTCCCCGAGTTCCCGCTGGGCTCGCAGCAGCTCGGCCCGCAGCCCACCAGCTGCCTGCTTGCTTTGCTCCAGCTCCTCGCGGTGGCGCTTCTCGGCAGCTGCCTGCTCAGCCTGCAGCTGCTGGCACAGGTGTTTGACCGGCAGCAGCTCACTCACCAGGGCCTGTGTGCTGGTGTGCTCGAGCTGCAGTGCGGACAGCGCCTGTTCCTTCTGGAAGAACTTCTCTTGCCACGCCTTTAATTCTTGGCCCAGCTCCTCTGCTCGCTCTGCCTGGGAGGCCAGCTCTTGTCGCAGGCTCTCTGAGGCCACCCGCTGCTTCTCCGCCTCCTCCCGAAGGGTCTGGACCTCCTCCCGCAGAGCAGAGCTTCGTTCAGCGGCTCTGGCACTGTTGCTGGCTGTCTCAACCTGGAGCAGGCGCAGCCTGTCCTCCAGCTTCTGGCTCTTCTCTGACTCGGCTACAACCAGCCTCTTCAATTCCTTGCTCTCACCCTCCT